TTCTGTCATCTTTAATGTTTTTCTTGCAGTCTTATTTGTCTGATCTCTCTCTGGCTACTTTCATTTTTAACCCATGGTTTGTTTAACTCCGTTCACAGTGAAGTGTRCACTGAGGTGGTGAAGCTTTTGTTRGACAAWCTTTTGTCATCTCTAACAGTGAAACGATTTTATGGATAATGGAAATAAAAGTATTTCTCTTAATTTCTCCAACTGTCAGCAAAATCTCAAAATACTGACACCCCAAACTAAACAACACTCTTCCAAAACAAAAACAAGCAAAAAAAAAACAAAAACCAAAACCCACTACCAAGAAAAAATATTAGCTAATATTGATTAAGGTAGAACAATTTATTTTCTGGGTTGCCTTGTTCTTGCTTTTGCTGCAATTTTCTTTAGTCAAAAGTGTTGCAGATCTGTGCTGAAAAAGGAGGCCTTTCTAGACACAATGAAAACAATTGTGAGGCTTGACTAGGTGTGAAACTTCAAAACTGTGTGTGGTTCAGAGAAGTCTGAGTAGTTACATTTCCCTAAAGCAGCTGATACATTTTGGATATGTGGAGTTGCTTATTTTTAATATTGACAGGGATCCAAACTAGTTGATTTTGGGTTCAGTGTCCATCCAAGAAGCCCATTTTATGTTTATTTTTATTTGAATTGCTTATGTCTTGGTGTTCTATGCATTTCACGTATCAGCTCACTTGATTTGGTGCCTGTATTAGTATATTAATGCTATTATTTTATTATTTTTGCAGCGTGTTCTTCTTCTTGTTGCATCAGATGTTGATGCACTTTGTGCTTGTAAAATACTCCAGGTAAGTCTTGGTTCATTTTCACTGAAGGCTGACAGTACAAGAAAATATGTCCTGTGTTTGTATAAATGGATCTGAACTGGGGAAAGGGGAAAGGTTTCATCTGCATTTGTAACATTTGTTTCCACGAGTTATGACACCAAAAACTGGTCAGTCATAATCTGAGAGTTCATGTAGATTTGTCATTTGGGATGTCTTTGCTAGAAGGGTTTGTATGGAACGGAATTGTGGCATTGCAGGAGAGGCTGTTTCCCCTCCCTTTTGCTAACAGTTGTTGCTTCCTTGCAGGCTTTGTTTCAATGTGACCATGTGCAATATACCCTCGTGCCAGTATCTGGGTGGCAAGAACTTGAAACTGCCTTTCTCGAGCATAAAGATCAGGTGAAAAAAATACTGGAAACTTTTTAAGCTGCAGCTCATCTTTTATAGGGATGCACTTCTTCCCTGCCCTAATTTAAAATGTCAGCTCCTAAAATTAATGTTATTGGTGGTTACCTCAAAACTGTGGTTCCATTTTAACATGCCAGTGATAAATTTGTCAAGTTTTTAGCATAACCTCAAATGAATGTGCTGAAGTGTTGATAGAGTCAAAATAATTTTGCACGTTTAGAGATAGAAAGGTGTCTGTATCAGATGTCCAACATCCTTGAATTGTGTGTTTTGYCTTAAAAAATATTCTGCCTCAGAGACATCAAATAAGTTTTGGCAATGAAGAGTACTTTGGAGGTTTTGTAAACTTGTTTTCAATCTTCCATGTTTCCTGCTAATTTAAGTAACAAGCTTTTTACTTYGATTTTTTTGCTTTTGTTTGTAGTTCAAATACTTTGTTCTTATTAATTGTGGTGCCAATGTTGACCTCCTGGAAATCCTGCAGCCTGAAGAAGACACATTTTTTTTTGTATGTGACAGTCACAGRCCAATCAATGTAGTGAATGTTTATAACGACACACAGGTAAAAGCTTTTCTTTCATAATAAAAACTTCCCTGCAGTGTAGTGCTTTTCTRTGTTTTGCAAAACTGCTTAGAGCATTAATTCATAGGTCAGAAAGCAGCATTAATAAATAAATATTTGCAATAGTAATGTAYATGATCTGAAAAAATCCTTTTTCCAGTTGTAAAATCTCTACTGTTAGCAATGTGGTAGTTGTCAGTAGCAAGCATGTGTTAGTCTTGTTGCTATAAATCAAACCGCCATAAATCAGAGGATAAACATCCTCCAGAATGTAACATGTATTATTTCTCAGCTTCTGGCAACACTTTGAATTTCAAGTATTAAGCACAGATTAGTTGATTTTAAAAGCATTAAAAATTATAATTCTTTTGGTACTGCTATAACAAAGTAATATGGGTTTTAGACTGATTTTATATAAATCACTATGATGTTTGTATTAAAAATGAATGTTTTGTTATGCCAGGAATTAATCACGGCCTAAATGGATTTTTAGATTATTTTACTGATTTAGAGTGCATTTTGCTCACTAAATAAGGGGCTTTCTCTAAAATACAGTTTTCTTCTTGCTAGATTAAGCTGTTAGTCAAGCAAGATGATGATCTCGATGTTCCTGCTTATGATGACATCTTCAGAGATGAGGAGGATGAAGAAGAGGACTCAGAAAATGAAAGTGATGAGTCAGAACCTTCAGAGAAGCGCAGACGTTTTGAAGAGGTGTGTTTCACTACTGTATTGTGAAAAGAAGAAAAATAATGCAGCTATTTCATATGTTTTGCATCATAATAATATTTGAGTTTAAAAATTGTGTACCATGAGATCATAAATTCAAGTGTATATATAAAGTAATTTACTACAACAGGTGCAGTTTCACATAAACAGAATATTTATTTATCTGAWCTACACAGAAATATTTTGAATTTAATTATGAATAATGCTTTGTATAATCAGTGAATTGGCAAAATCTATCCATTTATGTGCTCTGGGCTTTGCAGTCTAGCAATAGAACTTGTTTAGATGTGAACTCCTTTAAAAAAAAAGCATTTGAGAAGATACAAGCTCACAAATAGTTTAGCAATGCATTTTGTCTGTGCTTGTAGCAGTAAACTAACAAAAGTATRTAAAGTGTACACATGAGATTAAATTTGTCMTATATTACTTGTMGCATATTTTCTGTTTTTTTAYTATAKAAGCAAGCAAAGGYRTAAGASCAGYAACATTAACTAAATATAAAGACATYCTTAGATTTAATATATATKTCMTATTACCTTCCCATTAAYATTGTAYTTTTTTCCTACTAATATAAAAAGGGCTYTATCTTAGTGAAAGAAAATATCATATTCAAAGGAAAATTTACAAATACACAAAAGCTTTTCTGGAATCTGTTTAAATATTTTACAAAGATCTTATGTGTGTTCTTTGGAAATATTTTTCATAATACTCTTCTCATTAGATGTTGTTAATGGCAATATTTTTTTAAGAAAAAATATTTTAAATTAAAATTTTAATTACATTTTTTAGTTAAGGTTTAATGATTGAGGTATCTAGATGCTAATTTATTYGACTATTTTTCTAGCTTTTTAACTTCCAAATTAATTTACAGGAGGTAATAGAGAGGACAATGAAGAGGCGACAAAGGCGAGAATGGGAAGCACGCAGGTGTGTAAATGGGTTTTTCTTACGTTGCTTCTATCTTTTTCTTTCATTCTTTGATTAAAATTGTGTTAGGAATGCAAACACAACATAACAAGCTGTGATTTGCAAGATGCTTTAGTTRTAATTTKKTTTAGAAAGCAGAGMTATTAAATATATAAAAATAAARTGTTTAAWTRGAGGGAACTGTAAATRGTAATTTAAAATTTGAGAAGCAATAGGTGCACTGGGTCACTTCAAATAGCTGCAGTATTCTTGCCTTGTCTGTCTTGGGGTGAAATTTGTGCTGCTGTTTTCTACTTTCACAATCCCAATGTASTCAACAGCAATGAGCAGGAACAAATTAGATAAAATGAGATTTGAGGAATAATGGTGAAAAAACTTTTCCTTTTTGCTTTATGTATACATTTCAGTGTTGTTGTTTCCATGTTGTTTAATAAAGTCTAATTGCCTTGCAGATAAACAATTTCTAGTGCAATTCTAATATCTCAATTGCTAAAATCAAATTTAAACATTGATCACCACTTCTGGCTTATGTTTTTTAATTGGATCGAAAGATCAGTTTACCACTTAGTCAAATGTGGGTATTTCTCCCCTTTTTAGRCGAGAAATTCTCTTTGATTATGAGCAATATGAATACCATGGGACCTCAGTAAGTATACTTTAACTCTTTGTTTGCCTTAAAACCTCAARGTGACATTGAAAGATAACTTGACTATATCCAATCTTATAATTACCTGTTACAATTACATAATTACCTAATAATAGTCTTTAACATGATAATATTGTTGCATCTTTCTATTTTTATATCCTATTATTTTGTATATAAAATACATCATCTATATGCAAGTATTTTAACTAAGCTTAATCTTTTCTGCCTCTTTTTAGATCTTTACAAGGGTATCTGCCTATTTACAAAACGCTGTCACAAAAATATTTGAGCATGTAGGGTGCTTGTTAGTCTTTCAAAGTGTCAGAATATCCCAAACATAGCACGTAAGACATCAGACTGTCCTTTCTGTCCTTTGGCCTCTCTGATTATATTTTATTAAATGTTTGCTTTATATATAACACAGAGCTCTCTGAAATATTTTTCTTTCWACTTCGTATCTTAGGAAGAAGCTGKCAGATTGTCAGACTCCARTGTGATTTCTAGAGCTCTAGTAACWTGTRCTAGTACTTGGCAGATTTAACTGTTCCATTTGTTTAGTGAACTGTGTCTTRTGCTCATTTATCCTGTGTCTTGTGTTCATTTGTCCTGTCTTTGTGCTTCTCCCTCTCGCAGTCTGCRATGGTGATGTTTGATCTGGCATGGATAATGTCTAAGGACTTGAATGACATGTTGTGGTAGGTTTCCATCATAATTTTTTTGTAGAGATTGGAAGCTTAAACCTGTAGCARAGACAGGCAAATTTTCCCAAAATTATTTGGTTTCAGTAAGAGGTTCCATTTYCTTTTGTGAGTGGATGCTTGTCTTCAACTAGAGGACGCATCTGTGTAAACTAATTAAAAACTACARTGGATTTTACATGGCAAAAGAATGGTACTATATGTATATATCTGCAAAAGAAAAAATAATAGTAGATAATTTTGTTATTCTATGTACTTTTGGTAAATAATGTGTTTGATTTATAATATACTATACTGGAATAT